TCTGGCGAGCTGTCCACGTTGTTTCTAGAAAACAATAGTGAATTTTTGAGTTTGAAAATTCGGTAATGGTTGTTGAGTAAGGGATTGCAAGAGTGAGCGAAGTATGACCGACGTCGTAACTGCTACGAATTTATGAAGGCCTTTCATGATCTAGTCCCAAAAGTCTATTACTCTGTCCGAATCTGACAGATCTGTATGTTTATAGAATATCCAAGGAATGCTTTGCTTAAAACCTGAACGGAAAGAGCTACAATGCAACCGTTGATTTGTATCTTGAAAGGAAACTATATTAGAATAAAATTCAATCTACCACATGGCAATTCTCGCCAGCCAGCTGGTTCATAAATGCTATTACGAACTGTTCACCTGACCGCATTATTCCGCATCGGTCATAAAATTTACCTGGTACATAGAATTCATAATTGTTAGTGAATAGTAGTCATTATACGGCTTTCTTTGTTGATTTCATTCGGATTGCTTGTTAAATTGGAACAAATGTTCTTCAGATGGTATCGCATTATGTTCCATACAGAAGGACAGCACTAGTTTTGAAACCTTCGGTTCGATAGTTCATTAAGTAATGATTCTGCTCTATTATCCTTTACGTTGTCAAGCCATGTTGTTGGAAACAATCAACGGTCTGTTTCTTCTGAGAACGCTGGTTGGTTTTCTCTAAGACGTTCTGTCAAGTCTGCAATTACATCAGTAATCAGTATCACGCTTATATTATTTCTCACATTTGACCACCTGGTCTAGCTGAAAATTCTTTTGCAGTAGAATTTTAGCCAGTACCTTTTCTGATCCCTTAAACAAAATAACTACAATGCTGAATTTTGGAACGAACGTTTGACCTCATTTTAGCGAATACTATGTATGACGATGAAATTCGTTTTTTTCTTATAAACTTTTTTCTTAACTTCACTTATCGAGTGAGGCAGCATCGGTTTCACCTCCGTGCTACCAGAAAAATTGGTGGCTGTTATTTCGCGATAACGTAGCTGCATCTGATATTTGCAAATTAAGGCGTGGTTAGATTTTCAGCTGTTTAACTGTGAATACCAAGGCATTAACAAAATTCTTAAATAAAAGATATCCTAGATGTGATTGGGTAGCTACCACGTGGCATCTTTCTAACCCCGCCGGTAATCATGACGTTTCAGTTTCTGATACAATTTTTATTCGGTGTAGATGCACTCATGCCTTGCTGCTAGTCGTCCATGGAGGAGACATGTAAGCGGACTACTACTTCATGCTATTTGAGCATCTGGGGTGCATTGGATGAAGGCTGGATCCTAGTGCCTTCTAGCAGCAAATGAATCTGCCACAACCGTCGGCAAAAAGTAAAAAAAAATTTGTTCTGGGTTACTTGCCACATTGAGCCTAGCGACTAGGAGTATGGTAACAATGTACTTTCGCCGAGCGAGTCCGGTATCAGAAATACATGTTAAGTTTTCCTTTTTCATTTATTTGTTTCATTCAAATTCGTATTTTGGCTTTCTGCGTTTCGTTTTTACGTTTATGTTACGAATCCATAACGTTTACCGTATTAATCAATATCTTTGACAGGAGATCAAATATCTTTGCACAACCTCTCAAAAGAGTGTCTGTCCAGATAATTTACCGACTCCGTTCCGTTGCATCACCAGTTTGATTCTGTCCCTGCGTGTACTGCGTTTCAGCTAGATTTCGAATTAATTTTTTGAGAAACGTTTTCATAATTTTGGAATAATTTGTGACGAACAAATCACTGATCACAACTTTTGTTTAGAACGGAATTGTTCCGGCGGATCCGAGCACGTTTTGGCCTAAGAAGTCGCATTCAGAAGAGGAAAGAAAGAAGTGATGCCAACCTGCCTCGTTCCTGAACAACTAAATAACCTGTCCTTGAAAGTGTGATCACCAGTTGACAAGAAAATTTTACTGCTTAACAAAATGAACAGAACCTAACACAATTACTATCATCGCGTTAGCAGCATATGACTAGTTAATTGTATTAGTAATACAATTGTCATAGTACGATAGTCACGACAAGCATCACAAAACGGTAAAATAAGTTAACTTCAAATGGTAAAACCGACAGCGGAAAACATGCCAAGGGCGACAAATACTTAAAACGGACCAAATTCATAATGGTAACATAAATTAGTAGTGAAACACGCAATATGCAATGCATGTGCATATTTATAGACGTATGTTCACGAAACAAATTTACTGACTCGCTATACAATTTACTCGCTATACAACGGTGAATAGATCACAACTATATAAGTAATAAATTATATTTAGCGGTGATTAATGTGTATGTTTAGACTGTGGTTGCGATGGAGGTGATGGCAGCGGCAGCAGTAGCAGCAATGGCGGAAAAGTCAAGCCAGCTACCTAGTGTACAGTAGCGAGTACTCAAAACTAAATGAAAAACAACCTGCGCAAATAGAAAGTTGCAAAATCTGCAGAAAAAACAGAACGGAACATCAGATTCGGAACACTAACAAACACTCGCAGGCAATTTAGTAATCTCGCGCACGAAACATCGTCGTCCGTTCTTCCTTCTTCTTATCACAGGTGCATTTTTTCTGCCGTTGCAGCGATCAAAGCTGCCCCCTGACAACTGCCGTATTCCGAAGTCAACACATCCCACTGAAAAAGTTACCAGGTTTGGTCAGTGGTTACAAAAAAAATTACTGACGACATCAACATTTAAGAAACGCACCGTGCGTCTAGGAATGCAAACGTTCGGATGAAGATGAAAAAACTTTTTTCGCAAAAGTTAACATGAACAAAGCAAAAAAAAAGAAAAAAGGAGTTGTTAATATAACCACTATGTCCAAGGGATGTCAACTAAAACCTTTGCCATTTTTTGTTTACGGTGTACTACAAGAAAGGCAAGAGACGTGTTAAATATTTCAACAAAAGCGAATGCAATCATTTCGATAAGATACGGGTCTTTCCAAACAAACTGGAATACTGAAACTGAATAACCATGTGACATGCAATTCTACACGTATCGGGTAGTACGCCATTTTTTGAAGACAGTAAAAAATGAGGAATATACACTGAACGTGAAACTATATTGCTCTTCCACTGTCAAATATGAAAAGTTATCTACAACTGTCTTTGATAATAGTCGTTTCAATGTTCACAACAAATCTTGATGGCTGCCGTAAAAGATTAAGAAGAAACGCAATTACAGCAGTTCATCTAGGCATAGATTTGCTAGTCGATAAACCACATAAGTGGGGTCTTAAGAAATCGAACAACCTATCGGATAGCGAGTAAAAAATAGTTCAATGCCACAAGGAATTTACCTCGGACACGTCAGGCGGTACCAGATCATTCAACTGAGCCTTGAGCATATCATGATAGTTGGGAAGAAAGCTGTTCAGCGCTCCTCCTACGCCGATGATCAGCTTCGGGCGGCGAATCCTTTTCATCAAAGCAGCGATGGCTGAAAAGCACAAGGTTAACTTGGTGCTTGAAACAATATTGAAGTCAAGAACATGGAAAAAAAGCAACGCAAGCAACAATTTTATAAAAGAATCATAATGGAATAAATTTAATTCAGTGTTAAGCACAACAACGTTTATGAACTATGGCTTCGCTGTCTGAAACATTCGCCACTATATAAAGTTTCTGTCGTATTGCTAAGAACTCTTCTTACATGCTGCCGCTGAAATGACTTGAGCTCTTAAAGACAAACTAAAGAGTGAAATGAAATACTGTTCAGTCGGAAAATTGTTTATGATACAGTTCGTATATGAGTTATTGACGTATGACTAAGACTGAACTGTTCCTTAACGAATTTAGGAACAAGTCAAAATGATATCAATTTCAAACAAGATTTACATCTTCGCTAAAACGATGTTTCTAATTTCAACTCGCATTAAGCACAGAACAGAAAAGCAAATCATATCACAGAGTCAGACGATGTTTTTTGCTTTTAGTTCTGGAAATATACTCTTTCACATTACCTGGATCAGCTAGATGTCAGATCTGCGCAATACCATAACTAAATGTAACTAAAGTACACAGGAAAGAACTACTTTCCAATAACTACAATGTAGACTGATGCAACAGAGTACCAATCTTCGTTCAAAACACATACAAGTGCGTACATGGAATAGAGGCCAAAAGTCTGGAAAAAATATTTATATGAGAGTTGCTCTTCAAACGTGAACAAAACGGTAACGATGTTTCCTCGTTATCAACATAAAGCTCCCCGAAGGGGATTTGGCTGACATCCGTGCAGCTCTCAAAAACAGCGGCTACGCTAAACGGCTGAAAGAAGATGCAATCAGCTCTTGAAAAGGGGTAGAAAAAGAACTAGAAGCAAAAATAAATTAAATGTCAGCATCATTGTTTAACATGCAACAGCTAAGCAGAAAGCGTGAAATGCACCTAGCATTCAGATTCCCCAAAAACATTTTTGAACCAGCTGATGCATGTCCACGAAAGTGAGCAAAAATTTGAACAAGGCTGGATCAATACACTACCTCGTGAACGAGGTCTCACTCAGACACGAGAAACGGGCAACACCACAGAAGAAAGAAAAAACATCTCGAACTAAAATGATGCAGTGTCGATCTATGTCAGATTGGACTATTACAGAAAGATAAAGGGTGAAAAGAAACAATACACCCACAAGTGGTGAAGAAAGAATGCAGGAAAAAAAACTTCGGCG